CCAGACTTACCCCAGGGAAACTCCAGGAATCTCCAGCTGTGTTAGATCCTCGGTCCACCATGACACATGACGCTCTCATGCCAGACTCTTCCCTGGGCACACCCCAGTTAGGAAGAAACTTTACCCCAAAAGTGTTGACGTCAAAATCAAAAGTTCTGTGTTGATTGCTGGAGCAAGTCAAAGGCTGTCAGCACCCTTGGAGACATGGCAGGTGATGAGAGCAAGATCCCCGAGACCTCGTTAAGCCACAGGCCCGCCCGTGTCCTCACAGCCGTGTCTACGAGACTGGCCGGTGTGATTCCTGTTTTATAGCTGGGAAATCTGAAGCGCAGAGGGGCTAAGGCACTCACTCCGGGGCCTAGAGAGAGGGCACTGAGCAGAGCTGGAGTTTCAACCCAAGACGTTGGCTCTTAACCCTGCCCCACTCGGGGCAGCGGCCTCTGCTTCACCTGGAACTGATTAGCAAGGCAAATTCCGGGGCTCTGCCCAGACCTACTGAACCAACCTCTAGAGCAGCGCTCAGCAACCTAACACGCCTCGTACATGCCTCATGCTGAGCCCCTGTGCCCTCCACCGGCTTCTAATATGAGAAAGTGAAGTGGGTGAGAATAAGCTGCTCAAAGCTATGGTGCCAACCTTCGCCCTCAGGGTCAAGGACATTAAGGGGACAGCCAGTTGCTGCCTTGCACGAATTGCAGAACTAGTGTCTGGCAGATAATGAGAACTCAATCTTCAGCTTTGGATATGAGATCTGATTTTATAAGTATCGGTTACCTTCCTAAATTAGATTTGCTGGTTTTTTTTGTAAGTGTGGCACTCAGGTTGGGTATGGAGGGTTTTCCCAGTGCCAGACTCGCTTTGACTGCTAAGGAGAAGAAACTGGGAGAGGGGGTCATTTTCAGGGTCCTAGACATCGCCTGAGTCTTTCGACCCCCTCCAGGAAAACTCTGCATGTAAAGGTGATGGGAGGTGTGACACTGCAGAAATGGGGCCCTGAACCCGAATCCCAACAGAAAAAAGTAGAGAGCTCACTAGCAAACAGCAGCCTCTGGTTCTTCTCGCAGCCAGGAGCTTGGGGCCCCTCCCGGGTCATAGAGCGCGCTGGCGCTGGGAAAGCTTGTTTGAAGAGCACAGGTCACCCCAACCCCCAGGGCCGAAGTTGCCTGCTCACGTCTCTGCCCTGAGCTCTTTCTGCCCTACACAGAGGGGAAAGACCGCCTCTCCCGTCCCTGCTGACCACCAGCGCCTCTGCCTGCCTCTGTTTGCTCCTCTGTGAAATGGGGGGAGCACCAAACGTGGGGTTTGGCTCCAGGTTCTCAGATGGGGAAACACATGAGGGAGCTTGTCCAGCTAACCTGGGCCCCTGCGCCCTAACATGTGTCCTTAGATTTCCGAGGACAGAGAAGTTGCCATCCACTGCAATGTAACAGTATTAGCTTCAATTTATGAGGTGCCTCCATGCACCGAGCCCTGAGCTAACATTTTCCCAGCTGCTTTCATCCCAACTGCCCTGCCAGGTAAGCATCATCACCCCTTTTATAACTAGAATAAATGAGGCTCAGAGCGGGAAAGTTCCTTGTCCGTGATCACAGAGCTGTCCCACTACCCCAAAGCTCATATCCACAAATCCCTTGCACCAGATCTAGCCTGGATTAGGGTCTCGGTAATTATTTGTTGAATGAATGGATGGGTGAGTGAATGCATGAGTCACTCGACCCTGGGCTAATGCATTCATTCAGAGCTGTCATAAGCCTGCATCCTTTTGTAAAGTGCCAAGCTTGATGAATCCCGCTGTCATGCTCCATGAAACGCACATCCAAGTCTCAGCTCATCCCTGGGCACTCGGGGAAAGACAAAGTGACTCAGATGTCACATCAAACTCCAGCTGCTGGAGCAACTCAGGGTCATACTTTTCGAGCCGCTGGCTTTGGATGAGGACAGAATGGCCTTGATTATGGGAGGCAATTAAGAGAAATCACATGGGGTGTCATCTCCTCTGCTGCCCCCAAGAAAATGTGGGAGGTTGTAGTTGGAACCCAAGTGCTTCTATTTAGAACAGTACATTTGAGCGGGGTCCGGGTGAGGTGTGGAAGAAGCCAGGCGCTTTCAGGGTGCTCCTAGAACCCTAAGGTCCCTGGGGTGCCGTGGCGGTCAGTCTGGGTGGGTGGTACTCCAGGCCCCTCATTTTGAGGAGCAGGACTTGTCCACCATGATCTGTTTCCTATCTAGCAGGCTACCTCATTTGGTTGTAAGTTAGTGAAGAAGAGCGAGCGCCAGTGAAGAGTGACTCCCTTGGAGCTCTGGGGTGGGCCGAGCCTTGGGAGGGCTGGATCTGAGTTTGGAAGATGGTCAGAAGCTCTGTCAGTTGGGCCCAGGAGGTTTCTGGTGACTTTTGTCTTCTGCAGCTCATTTATTTTTCTCTCTCTGCTTCTGTATTAGTCAGGAGTCTTTGGTTGTAAGTGACAGAAAACCTAACTCAAAGTGGCATGAGAAAAGAGGAGAATTTATGGAAACACACCCTCCTCACCACCATCCCCCAGAGGTGGAGCCAGATGCCGGGGGATCTCTAGACTCTGCTACCACTGTGTGCCTCCATTCTTGGGGTACTCTGCCCTCACAGGGCGCCCACCAGCTCTGGTCTCTACCTTCCCAAATCCAAATCGAGGGGAAAGGACACACGCACGCTGAGCAAAAAAATAAAAAGAAGAAACAACACAACCAGTTCTTGTTGAGACACTTGTGAGTGTCTGGAGCAACCTCTGCGGGCCAGGTGCTCTGGTTGGGCCAAACCCAGATCCAGCGCATCTGGGCAGCGATGGCACCACACGGGCCACTCAGAACCAGAGCGCGTGGAGGCGAGGCTTCTGTGCCCAAAGAGAGGGGCCGTGGATGCTAGTACCCACCCAGCTTCTCACACATGGTCCCAGAACAGGCCGCCCTGCCCACCTACAAATGTCCTCCAGTCCAGGGACAGCCCAGGCCGTTGTCTGTTGACCCAAAATCAGGCTTCTCCAGAGGGGGGTCTAATTGCAATGCCAGAGTGGATGCGCATTCCCTCCCCCACCCAGGCCGCCTACCACCCACCAGGGCAGGTGCACTCTGTGCAGCATGTTGTCAGAGCCGGGTCACACAGTCCCAGAGACTGCAGAGCACTTCCAAAGTGCCGATTCCACTTATTTTGAGCTTTGTTAAAATGCACATTCTTGGATCCAAACCAGACACTCAAGCAGCCTTCCTCGGGATTCTTAGCACACTCAAATCTAAGGACCATCAAGTTGGATCTTCCTAAAGCAACACTGTACAAACTCTCATTGTGGTCACCTGGGGTGGGCGTGGAGGTGAGGGGGAATACTTACTCCTCTAACAAGTTCTGGGATGTGATGAAAAGCCCCAGGCCATCAGAATTTGGACTCGGAAGTGCTGTTCCAACATAGAGACACTAGAGGGCACCATGGTCACTGCCAGGACCAGGACCGCAGGTGCAGAACCACCTCTTCAAAGACCTGAGGTTGAAAGGTGCTTATTGAGATCTATCCTGTGCATGGGTGTACACACCACACACACACACACATCACACACACACCACACACGCACAAACACTCCCTGGGGTTCTTTTGTCTTCGCTTATCAAAATAGCCCTTTACAAATAGTGCTGTGACTCTAACTGCGGCTTTGCTGTTTGACTACCTGACTGACCTTGGAGAAAGCTCCACCCCTTCTGGTCTCAGGGACCCCAGTGAAACTGCAAGGGGTTGGGCTGGGGGGGGTTCCCCAAATCTTCCAAAACAGTAAAAGTTTGTCTTGCTAGCCCAGTCACTTCAGCAGGGTTCCACCTGGCCGGGAGCTCCTGTAACTGCCAGTTCCTCCCCACCCCCACCCCGCCCCGGCCCCAGGCTCAGCATTTCCCAGACAGTCGCTTCTGTAAAATTTTGTCATTTTCATTTTTTCCCCTGACATCAAGAAATCAATGTTGAGTCCTAGGTTAACCTTCCCCCTACTGCCCCCTCAGAGGTGCCTTCAGCTTGAATTCGAGATCCCTTATACTTTAAAGACATTTTCTCATGATAAACACTAGAGTATTGTTTTATGGAGCTTTGAACTTTATACTTGCTAACTGGATGGCGGTGATGGTGAGGAGTGGAGTTTTGTTCAGAAACGCAGTAGGAGGGCGACAGGTATGTGCAGCTCCCACACACTCAAAATAGACACTGTTAGTGAAGATTAAGTTTTTCTGTGACAGAAAACTCCAAATAACAGCTTAAACAAAACACACATTAATTTTTCTTTCGTGTGACAGTCTACGGGTAGTCCAAGTCTGTCAGGCCAAGACTGGCACAGCAGTCCTACCTACATCAGAACCCCAAATCTTATTTCCCCGTTATCCTCAACATATCCTCATGATCCAAAATAGCTGCGTGTGCTCCAGCCATCATGTTCACATTCCACGCAATGGGAAGGATGAGGGCATGCACAGGGTACTCCCTTACCCTTTAAGATAGTTTTTAGAAGTTGCAAACACTGCTTCACCCTATACCCCAGCAGTCAGATTTTGAGCACATGACCATACCTATTCACAAGGGATGCTGGGAAATGTACTCATTTGTCCGGTGACTGTGTACTCAGCTAATATCTATTTTTTTTTAAGATTTATTTATTTATTCATACAGAACTGGGGCACAGGCCAGAGATGCGGAGGGTGAGAGGATTCACCAGAGACAGAGTGGGGAGCAGAACAGGCAGATCTACGAAGTACACTGCTGAGGGGAGCAGCGGGCGGGTCAGGAGAGGTCTGCCGTGCCATGTGGTCACCTCCGGGGCAGGCGGGAATCGAACTCATGCGGAAAAGGCTTTAGCTTCCTAGCACTGTGCTTTAATCCGCTGCACCACCAGGGAGGGCCTCAGCTAATATCTTAATGAGAGTCTGGGCTGCCAACACATTTATTTTGACCCCCACCCCTCTTCTCTCCCTTCTCCCATCTTATCTCTTGGTCTGGCTGCAGTGGGCATTGGTCTGGGCGGCAACTGTACGGGCTGTGTCATCTGCTCAGAGGAAAACGGCTGCTCCACCTGCCAGCATAGGCTCTTCCTGTTCATCCGCCGGGAAGGCATCCGCCAGTATGGCAAGTGTGTACACGACTGTCCCTCCGGCTACTTCGGCATCCGCGGCCAGGAGGTCAACAGATGCAAAAGTATGTGGCTCCTCCTTTGCCTGCTGGCGTTGCTCCTGGAACTCCTGGCCCACATCCCGCCTTTCAGCTCAGCTCAGCCACAGGGGACGAAGGTGTATGCTTAAGCCCAGAACTAGACACTGGCTAAGTTTCAGACGGAACCCCTGGGCCAGCCGTTGCCCTCTCTGGTGACAGCTGGCGACCTTCCCTTGTCCCTAGTTTGCTGTGTGACCGGGGCATGTTGCTCACTCGCTCCTGGCCGAGCTCAGATGGGAGAAGGTGTCCTACATCTTAATTCTCATTTTCTCTGTGACCTGGGACAAATTAGGACCATTTCTGCACCTGGATGGAAATGGCCCAGGGAGTCCTCACTCCCAGCCCAGAGTTGCTGTGTGACTTCAGGTCAGTCATTTGTTCTTTCTGAACCTCAGCTCAAATGACAGTGGGAATCTTGACCTATAAACCTAAATCAACTTGTTACTTTAGACTTGTCACCTGCCCGCACTGAGCCTCAGTTCAAGTGAGAAAGGGAGTTCTTGAATGCAGTGCAGCTTGACCTTGAATGAGTTTGGACTTCAGTGGAGATACAGATCCTGGGGCTGCTCGGAGTCCCCCCCCCCCCAAACAGTCCAGAGGACCCTCCCTGGGCAGGTGCCCTCACCGGTGTGGCCCTGGCTCTATTACAGAATGTGGGGCCACGTGTGAAAACTGCTTCAGCCGGGACTTCTGCATCCAGTGCAAGAGGCGGTTTTACCTGTACAAAGGAAAGTGCCTGCCCACCTGCCCACTGGGCACCACAACCCAGCAGAAGACACGGGAATGCCAGGGTGAGTGGGGCCTCCTTGTTCTGGGCCTTCTCCCCGCTCTGGAGCAGGGGCCTGGTCGGGGTGGAAGGACACCTGGGAGAAACCACAGCAGTTATCATGCTATTACTGAGGTTGGTCCAACAACCCGCGTCAGGCCCACATGGGAATGGGCCTGTCCTGAGCATTGTTATGATTGCTGCTATCAGCTTCGACATCATTATTACTACCCAGGGAGGCAGCAGGGTACAGAAGAGCCCAGGCTTCCAAACAAGATTACCTGGGCTCAGAGTCTAGCTCTAAAGTTTACCATTTGTGACTTTAACTAAGCCACTTGAGCAGTCTGTCCCTCAGTTTCTACAAGTGTTTGAAAACTACAATGGAGCTTAGACCCCACCTCCTTAGGCATGGGGGCTTCTGAGGATCAACTGAATTAATACAATCTGAAGGACTTAATTCCGGAACTGACACACAGCATCTGCTCAATATATGTCAGTGTGATCACATTTTATTTCCATTATTGTCGCGGCTATTTTCCCGCCTCTTCTTTTCAGACTCCTGCGTGAGCTCCTTTTCTGTGGTCTATCCTATCATGAGGCTGCTCCCCGAGGTTTTCACTTGAATCACAAAGCACTTTCCACACATTCTTTCTGGGCTCTTGTTCAGTTTCTAGTCACACCCCTCCTTGAACAGCAGACTCACATCCCCCCCACCTGTCCATGACCTCAGCCTTCCCCACAACAACCCATCATAGCTTCAAGTGCTACAGTTGACCCAAGGCATGATCGAGCTCAAAGCCCCTGCCCAGGCCCTGGGGGCCTCCCAGCTCACCTGCGGGCCTCATCTCCTGCTCCTTCCTGCCCAAATGTTCACCTGCCCTTGCTCCAGCTTTGCATACTTTACCTATTCCCAGGGCTTTGCACATCTGCCCAGAATGTGATTCCTCCCAGCTCTTCCTCCCTCCATGTCCATCTCCTCAGGGAAGCCTTCTTCTCTAAAGCTGAACATTTGGTCACTCTTCTGGCCCAGAGCAAGATGCATGCTTTGGGATGGCTCTCCTCCTAGGTGCTTGTAAATAGCTAATTAAATGTCTCCCCTCTACTCCTTGCAAAAGCTCATGAGTCCCTTGTATGTGGAGATGATGTTTTCAGGGGACCAGACCCCCACAAAGGACTCACTGCCGCTTGACCCTGTCTATCTGTTTCTCCACCCCACAGATGTGTGTGAGCTGCGCCCCTGGGGCAGCTGGAGCCCCTGCACCCACAAAAGGAAAATGTGCAGCTCGGCCTGGGGCCTGGAGACCCGGGTGCGAGAGGTTAGCCGGGCTGGACGGGAAGAGGCGACAACCTGCCAGGTGCTGTCCGAGTCACGGAAATGTCTCATCCAGAGGCCCTGCCCTGGAGGTGAGCATGGCTGGGCATGAGGGCTGCTGTGGGCAGGGCCCGTGGGTGACTTCAATCCACCTTTACTCACCCCCCTCACGTGGATCATGCAGTGATTTCCCTGGTGCCCTTCCAAAAGAGGGTCTTTTTGGCTGGTCATAGGAAGACTGTGCATGCCCTGACATCAGCAGTTCCTGACCCTTTCAAACCCCTTCCCCTACCTCCCTTTGAATAGTAAGGGTTTGGGAACCACTCTTTACTATTCTGAAATGTACGGACCACGTGACCACTTGCACAGGTCAGTCTTTTTAATTTCTGTCTCATGCCCTAACTGTAATATAGTAGGTCCGACACACCTACTGTGTTGGGGGGTGGGGGTCAGTGAAGACACTAGCAACTTGGTGTGAAAGGAGGTTGGGGTGGAGGCTCAGCAGGCCAGGAGGACACGCGGCCCCTCACTCCCTGTGAGGCTGTGTCCTTCCAGCATGGGGCGGGGGGTGGACAGACCAGCTGGGGCCCTCTCCACTTACCCCAGCCGCCTGGCCACCAGCTCTCAACTTGCCCCCTCTGCCAGAGTTTGCCACCTAGAAGGGAAAGAACAGGACTAGATTCCAGGACTCCAGTCCAGAATGTCCACTGAGCCAGGGAGGCCCCGCATTGGGCTCAGGGGGACCATCTGAGAAGTGGGACTCACCCAGTGTTGGTCAGAAGCCTGCCTCAGCTGCAGGAGGGTCAGGGACACCATGGGCCAGATTCCTAGTTAGCCTTGGCTTTCACACAAGTGGGCCCTGGGGAAGGTCCAGACCGGGGATGCCCCGTGGGGCTGGCTGACCGCAGGGAGCGCCTTGCACTGCGGCGGGCCTTGGGAAGCACAAACTGCCTGCTACGGCTGCTGTTTTAAAGTGGGGGAGAAGGGGCAACCTGGGGGCTGCTGGTCAACCTCCAGGCTCCGACAAGCAGATGCCCGGCCTGAGGGGCTCCTCTCATCGCCTTTCAAGGCACTGAGTGGAGTGTTCACCCAGGACAAAGTTGACCTGCCAGGGATAGAGGGGACACCCTTGTCATCCAGGATTGAGAGGCCTCCCAGGAATTAAGGGACCTCGGAAACAACACCGTGTGCTCGTGTTGCAGAGAGAAACCCCAACCAGAAGGACCGGAAAGCCCGGCGTCTGCGCAAGGACAAAAAGCTGGACCGGAAGTTGGATGTGAGGCCTGGCCCACCACCGCCGCCCTGGCCGCCGGCCTGACCACCGGGCTGGGCCGCTGAGAGACCTGCCCCCGCCAGCCCCCGCCTGAGGCTCAGCTCTCCTCGCTCTCCTCCCCTTCCTCCATCCTCCCTCTCCCACACTTCTCTCCTTTTTTGTGTGTCACTCTCCCTTTTTTTCTTTTGTATTCATTTTTTAACTGTATTTTTTCCAGCTCTTTTCTTCTCCCTCCCCCCTCCCCCCCCCCCCCTTAACTGTATTTTTTCCAGCTCTTTTCTTCTCCCTCCCCCCTCCCTGCCTTTTCTCTTCTCACTATGCTTTTATCTGTCTGGCTTTTTTCCCTTTCCTCCCATTATTCTTCATGTTTTCATTGTCCTCTCTCTGTCTCTCACTCACTAGCAGCCACTCTCTTTAAAGTGAACATCTTTCTCTAGGCCTTTCACTGACCCCACCTTTGCAAAGAAGGGGCTCCCAAGGGCTGGGCCACGGCACCAGCAGGCTTGTTGTGTCTGAGAGCCCAGCTTCTGCTCCAGAGGAGACCCCCCAACCAGACAGGGCTGCCCCGGAGCCCCTTCCCCAGGCCTCTGCCACCAGCTCCCCTGGGAGTCCCCGGGGTTCTGGGGTGTCCAGGTACTTGTTCCCGACATTTCCCAGCTGACAGCGGAGGATCACAACCGGGCATCCGCTGTCCCCCCGCGGCCCCCACCATCCTCCCTCTCACGGTTCCCTGCCCTCTTTTCTCAAATTGGCTGTTTCCCCGTGTCCTCTGGAGACTCAAGTGCTGCGTCAGGAGGCTGTCAACCCTGGGAGAACTACCAGCTCAACCCTCAAGAAGCTGCCAAAGTGACAGGAGCGTGGTTACCCAGGGCACACAGTCCCCTAGCCTGACACCACCTGCCTAGTTGTACCCGTGGGGACACTGAGGCCTGAGATGGCAGGGACTTGCCCCAGCTCTCTCAGGGTGGCGGGGGCTGTGCCTTCCACCGGATGATTGTCCTGCTCAGCACATTTACACTGGGAGGAAACTTTGGGGGCCTGTGGGGGAGGCCATGGGCCTGCTGGGTGGGGAGCAAGGAAAGACCCCCCCCTTTACCCTCACCACACTGACCCCCACCCCAGTGTTTGTGTCACCAGGCAGGGAGAGCAGTTGGAGGAGTTTCAAGTTGGGCCCAACTTAGCAGTGAGCATGTTCTCACTGCCAGTCGCTCTGTCACCCTGGAGTCCCCTGCTGCTCAGAAGAGAAGCTCTCATCACCCCGGCAATACTGGCCGGCCCTCCGGAGCGGGGTGAGCTGCCAGGAGCGCTGAGCCTGATGGCCTCGGGGCTCAGGGAGGGCCTAGGGAAGGGGCCAGCAGGCTGCAGGAGAAGGTAAAAGGGCAGACTGCCCCTCCCACACCCTAAGTGTCCACCCTAGACCTCCCCTGCCTGGCCCGGGACCTCATGACTGCCCAAGCCCCAACCTCGCTGCCCCCTGCTCCCCATGGACAGACCTTCCCCACTGTGCCTGGCCAACCACCAGCTTCTCTTCTTCAAAAGTTTGTGCCTCTGAAGTGCTCTGTTGTCATTGTTTTAAGACCCCAACTTTTTTTTTTTTTAATAAAGGGTAACAAAAAAAAGGAACTTGCAAATGCCTCTGGTGCATCAAGCGGGTGTTACAAAACCATGATGCTGATGAGTTTGGAGTAGCTGAATCTAAACCATGTGGGGCGGTTTTCACTGGAATGCGCAGGCCCGAGAGGCCAGGGCGTGTCCAGGGCCGGGGCCAGAGGGTACTTTGGTCCATCTCAAGAAGGCGGTTCAGCTGGAGACGGAAGAGAAACACTCTCTAGGCCAGCACCTCTCCGCCACAGGGCTTGAGGGTATGGCCCTGGGCCATGGGTGCCCTGTATGACATTGCTGAGGGGCTTCTAGGAATGTGACAAGCCTGTGGTCATCTGGTGGAAGCTGCCCCAGCACTGGGAGGCACAGGCTGGAGACCCAGCCTATCACCAGCTGTCTTTGGGGTTTAGGCCAAACCATCTCCTCTCTCTGGGTCTTAGTGTTCCCATTTGGAGAGTGGAGGGAAGGCGGCAGCGGCCTGGCTGGATTAATTAACCCCTTTGCCCAAATCTGGGTGATCCAACAGCATCCTCCAGGGAGCTTGTCAAGAAATCAGATTTCAGACCTAATTGTGAGCGAGTTTCGGAGCAGGTCAGAGAGGGCGACGTGACCCCAGCTGCTGAGCAGGGACAGCAAGTCTGATTCTGACCTCAGCCACAGCAGTCTGATTGTAGAGAAATTCAGTGTCTGTTCCTTCTAAATGCCAGTTCTAAGAGCAAGATGGGAGTGGAAGATTCTAGTCCTGCAATCCCCTTATTGTGTTATTCCTTGGGGGGGGGGGGGGGGGGGGACTCGTCCTCAGCAAGCTTTTGTTGTTAGCATTTTCTAATTGGGGGACCCCAGCCCTCAGTGACCCTGGCCCTCTTCAGAGCCTGGATCCTTCCTCAACCTTTGAGGCTCGTAGGCTCCGCCCCACCCAGAGCTTGCCCAACTCCTTCTAATTCCGGCCTCTCCCACACTGTCCCCAGGCTTGAATCACTTCACGAGGAAGAAGACCCTCTCAAATAATTGTTCCTGCAAGGGAGGCCCAGAGAGAAGCTCAGAAACTGGCCCCTTCGCCCAGGGCAGAACCCTGGGGAGACTCCAGCTGCCTGGGCCCTTCTGGTGCTATTCTAGTGGGAGTAGCAATGGCTGGGCCTGAGCTGGGAGCTCCGCCAGCCGGGTCACACCGGGTCCTCTCTGCAGTGGACACCCCCACTGTCCGTGTGCTCCTTCCTCCGCGCTCCCACCTGCAGCTGCCCCACGGCCTGACCTGTCATTCCCACGTCCACCGCGAGAGGGCGTCAGGATCACGGCCAGCGCGGGTGGTAAAGGGGGCGTTTCTGAAAGGGAGCTGGAGGGCTTGGTGCCGGCGGGTGGGGAGCCGGCGAGGCCCCCTGCCCCGCTGGCCAGACCACAGCAGTTGCGGTGGTTCTGCGGCCGAGTGGTGCTCCCAGCAGCAGTGACGTGCCAGACTTTGAAGGTTTACAGCTCAAGTCCTTTTCTTGCTCGGTGAGAAACTGAGTCAATGGAGGACCTCCCTGCCCCCCACCTGCCCACCATCCCCAGCCCAACACATCACAGCTGTCCCAAGTCCTAATGGCTGTAGCAGTCCCGACCTGCTGCCAGGGCACCCAGCCCCCGCCCGCGGCGACTCACGGAGGGTACACATCTCCTTTTCATTTATAAGAACATTTCCTACCGTCCGACGTCGCTGCCCTGACTCGGGAAGTGCAAATTCTTGGGGAGACAACCATAATGGTAATGATGATAATGATAACACTAAGGCTGTCCTTGTATGACACCTGCTACGTGCAGACCCCACTAAGTGGTGTCGGTGCAGGATCGCCTTTGCCCTCCTCAGCATTGATCCTAAGTCCCATTTTTCCACTTCCTTATGTGCCAGACATTTCGCTTCCTTTCTGCTGGCACCTTCACCGCAACCCTGCAAACCACCTTAGAGAAGAGGAAGCTGACGCTCAAGTACAGTCGCATACAATCCTCAGTCTCATCTCTTCACCCCTTCAGTGAACAAGCAGAGTGCCTGCTATGGCCGCAAATCTCACCTGCCCCTCTGACCCGACCCGTACCTCTCTGTGCCTCGGTTTCCTCGTGGTGTCATGATGAGGTTTGAGTAAGTTAGTACATGAGAAAAGGATACACACATACTTCCTTACTCAGTAAGTACTCAAGGAGTTTTTATTGGGCCCTCCCTAGTGGTGCAAGGGGTTAATTCTCAGCACCATGAAGCTGTCTACAGTCTCTATAGCACCAGTTTGATCCCCAGCCAGGGAGCTGACCCACAGGACTCAGCAGACCTCTCCTGTCTCTCCCACTGCTCCCCTAGGCAGCATATTTCAGTCAATCTGCCTATTCT